GTAAAATCTTGTCATGCGGGAGCACAAAACCTGTTGAGTATCCTTAGGGAGAAATACTGGATTTTGGGAGGCAGGAGAAGAGTGCGCGCGGTAATATCGTCTTGCGTTGTGTGCAAACGGCAGGACGCGAAACCCTTTGTAGTGAAATCTCCGGCGTTGCCGATCGACCGAGTTCGTGACGCAGAAACTTTTGAGATTACTGGAGTTGATTTGGCTGGGCCGTTATTCTTGAGGGGCGGTGAAAAAGCGTGGGTTTGTTTGTTTACCTGCGCGGTGTACAGGGCTGTCCATCTAGAACTGGTTTCGTCGTTATCGACCGCGAGTTTTATACAAGCGTTCCGACGGTTCATCGCGCGACGTGGAAGGCCAAAGACTGTTTATAGTGACAACGGCACCAACTTCGTAGGCGCCGAAAGCAGCCTAGCGTCGGTAGAATGGGAAAAGATTGATCGGTACGCGAATGCACAACGAATTACTTGGAAGTTTAACCCCCGAGTGCACCATGGTGGGGTGGTTTTTGGGAGAGAATGGTTGGATTATTAAAGCGTTTGTTGAGAAAGGTTTTGGGTAGTGCGTGTCTCGATTATGAGAACATGAACACAGTCTTATGTGATTGCGAGGCCGTAATTAACGCGCGGCCTATAACCTATTCGTATAATAATCCCTCAGACCCTACTCCCTTGACTCCGGCGATGTTTTTAGGAGACAATCGCGCAAGTGGAGTAACTGATTGTGACAGTGTTGATCGAAAGTCGTTGGATCGGAAAATCCGTCATGCGCAAAAGGTGCGGGATGACTTACGGCAACGATTTAGATCAGAGTATCTAGGACAATTAAAAATCGCCTTGAAAAAACGACTCACCCGGGCTATTAAAATTGGCGAAGTAGTGTTGGTCGGTAGCGACAAAACAAAACGCGTAAACTGGCCTTTAGGCCGAGTAGTGGAACTAATCCCCGGCAAAGACGGAATTGTGCGGGTAGTGAGAATCGATACTGCGAACGGGCAGTTGTTGAGGCCCGTCCAGCGGTTGTACCCACTGGAAGTGGATAGTGTAAGCATCAAACCGCAAGGGGAGGACAACGTCGATCAGCCTGAGGGAGAACTGCAAGTTGATACTTCTCATCAAAAAGACAGCGAAGAAGTGAGCGACGAAAGTGACAGTGCGGGAGTGACGAGCACTAAAAGTGCTCAAAGCAGAGTACCCGAGTTACGTACCAAGTGCGGAAGCCGGCGAAGTACAGACAATGAATGTACAATTTTCTTTAGATTGTAGTTTTGTTCAGTTTTAGTTAGCATGCGTAATTATACTACCCGTTTTCTTTTGGGTTTTATATTTCTTTTCACGATAGAAATACGCATTTTTTAGTAGTGTTATAGTACCACGTATATTTGTCAGATTGAACTCAGTTTGTGTGCGACGCTCATTGATGTCATGACGTCACAGGTGGGAGAATGTTGTAAATTGGATATATCAGGGTTGTAAAAAAAAAAGAGAAAAAATACGCATTTTTTAGTAGTTATGTCAATTATTTAATTTGTATCGTGAAAAGAAATATAAAACCCAAAAGAAAACGGGTAGTTTTCATCAAGCTTTGTTAACAGGATATTGTCCACAAACGAATAAAATTCTTAAGGGAGTACATTGAAAACAAAAATTTGGGACATGAGGGTTATACTCCGGTTTTTATGGATGAAACCTGGATATTTAGTAAGGGATCATTTCGAAACAGCTGGCAAGATGATACTAAGCACACGGAATCAATTAAACCCAATGAAGGTAAAATAAAATATTATAATACCTTTTCAATATTATTAAAAGAGATATTTTTTAGGTCATCGATACATTATTGTCCACGCTGGGACGAACGATGGCTTTATTGGTGGGGCAAGTTTGATTTTTAAAAGTGGAAAAAAAACAGGGGGCTATCATGATAATATGAACAGGGGTAATTTTGAAAATTGGTTCAAGACTCAACTGGTGCCAAATCTTCCTGAAAAATCTTTAATTATTATGGACAACGTAAGCTACCATTCTGGCCTTTTAGAGAAAATTCCCACCAAATCATGGACAAAACAAAGAATGATAGAATGGTTAGGGGAAAAAAATATCGGCTATCCAGAAAAGGCAATGAAGGATCAAATATGGAGCATTGTCAGCGCAAACTGCCCCAAAGAGAAAAAGTACTACCTTGATGAATATGTTAAGCCTTTAGGACATACAATTTTACGGTTACTTCCATACCACTGCCAATTTAATGCGATTGAAATGGTGTGGTCTCAGTGTAAACGAAAATACGATCAGTACATTGCAAATTTTAAGGGATCACCACAAGAGGTTTTGGCAACATGGGAAAGGGTTATCGAGGAGATTTCTAGGGATAATTGGGAGAAATACGTAAACCATACGGACAAAGTAATACAAGAGGCTTGGGGAGCAGTACAAGTTTGTGATGCTTCTAACATCCCACCTCTTGTTATCACTACAGACGCAGATGACGACCTTACTGACGACGAATACTTTGATTTTGACTCTGACGATACGGACGAGGGCGACTAATTTTCTTCTAATACTGTGACCATTACAATTGCAATAAATTGGCATTGGTATATTTTTGTTTTACGATTTTGATTTTCCAACTATTCATCAAGGTAGTGCAATTTTTTCTTGTGTAGATGTGGTTCTTTGAATTTTTATGTACTCCTCTGCTAATTATTTTTTGGGTCTTTTCGGGAGTATTGATTCCTAAATAATATTCTGTGATTTTCGTTTTGTTAATCTTTATTTATTTAAAAACCAAAATATGTTAATATTACTTATATGTTAGTTGAGCAAGTTATTAAAATAATTAGTGAGTAAATGACTTTTTTTGAAATACTAACATTTTATCCATCGCGGTTTCGCTCGCAAAAAATATGAACTATTCGCATTTTTTAACATGTTAAAAATTTATTTTCGATATCTTCAGTCGTTTAGGCTGTGCATTGATATCTCAGTCAGTCAGTCAGTTAATTACGACTTCTTCTTTTATTAAGACCTATAGATTTCTTGTGGAAATTGACTTAATTATTATCAAAAAATGCTAAAATATTATGTACACCACTGTATAGTAAAAGTCATACAGGTAATTAGACAACAGTAGTCAGTTACTTAGCAACAAATAAATTTAATAGGACATACGTTTTTTCCCACGAAAATGACGTCATTACACGACTGTAAAATTCCGAGTATAAATATGGCTGGCCTTTTACACGTGTCCAGACGCCATCTCCGGCACAACAAAGACTAGCAACCTGCCACGTATCCTCCATGCGCTATGGAGCCTTTCCAACGCCGGCCCAGCCGGACGTAGCTCCCGATGAGTGAAGGAAGGCTTTACTCAACGCCGGGCCAATTGATACAGGTATATGGACCTGGACCCATGCCCGACGTACCCCCAATGAGGCCATCAGAGGCCTTCCAACGTGGTCAAGCAAACTAGTCTATTCCAATTAGGGACAAGCAGTAATTAACTGCACGCACAAATGCACATTCTACGGGCATTGCATTCGACACCCCTAAGTCTAATTACTAATTATTAACATACTCTAACTCCTAATCAAGAAGGTACCTTCGGTAATTAATTATCTACTAATAACTCGCATCTCATACGTAATTCATACGCTCAACGTTTCTGAGGAAAGGGTACACCTTTACCCTTTTATGAACAAAAGCCGAATTACATTCATACAATAATTATACAAGCAGATGTACTCACTCACTGTGGTAATTCGAGTTACTCCAATTTAACAAGTGCACGTCACAACACTTAGAAAGCACGAAACAATACTGACCAAATCTCTCCCTTGGAATTCGTACTCGAAATATTAATTTATTAGTATCGACACCCTCAATTGTCGGTCCGATACGCATGATTAACTTACCCTCTTAGGTCCGCTTTCGGTTGGCAGTTTTATTGGTTTCTAGGTAAATTATTACACATGCGAGTGTGGGAAATTAAACACGCATGACACTAAGGCAAACAAGGGCTCTATTGATCAAATACATTTTGTAAAACACAAGAAAAAAAAACTACGTATTACACATTTAACGTTAAATGAATGTTTGCGACAAACGTCAATGCGATGTATCCCTCCTATGCTGTATAAACGTAGTACAATAGTATATTGAAAGACAAGTGTTACAATGCGACCTATTGTAATACGACTATCTTGTGGCACGAGTGGCGACGCGAAGCGTAGCCACGAGTGTCCGCAAAATAGGAGTATTACAATAAAGCATTGTAACACGCGTTTTTCATACTATTTTTTCTATTTTGGTGCTTTAATTTAATTAAAAAAAATCATTATCAGAAACTATAGGGAACATTAGAACTAACATGTTTTATGTTGGGAACACTTTTTATGCCGTTAAGTTTTAGGTTGGGAGCGTAGTAAGACTGACATTTTGAAGTTCAAACATGGAAGTACCCAACGAAGAACCTACTTGTACTAACTAGTAACTGCCAACTTAAGAGATGAGTTACCAAAAAAAAACGACTATAATCACTGTCTTTGTGCAACTGTTTTCGGCCGAAAACAGTTGTACAAAATCAACATTGTGACACCGAAATAGAAAAAAATGTTTGTTAAACAATACTAAATAACTATTATGTTGTCCATATCGACCGGTATTAGTATTTTGATGACCGAATTGTTGGAAGAAACCGTTGGCCGCCAAAATCACCTGATCTAACACCCTGGGATTACTTTTTATTTGGTTATCTAAAAAACGTTATTTATAGAAATTACATAGAAATTACACACCATTGATGAATTACGTGCAGCTATAGATGCGACTGTTTATAACATAACATAACAGCAACATCATACAGTTTTCGAAAATATGAAGAACTTTGAACAGGTCATTAGCAATCGCATAGTGTTGAACAAAACATTTTGAACTTGCTTATTTTTATCTTTCAATCGTTCAATTCGTATTAAAATATGAGTACCTAATTTAATAAATCTCGCACAACTAAACTCACTCACGGCGAGAGAATCGTGTACGAAATTGGCAGGGGGGGGGGCAGGGGAAATTAAATTTCGGCGCTGATAATCGTAATGGAAAAAATACTCCACTTATCTTTACTATCAGGTAAGGCATAGTTCATATTATTATTTACGTTAGTACAACAACCCATACTTACCTAAATCTACGATTTTTCCTCATTTGTACAAGTATACATGTTAGCGTTGTTCAAAAACGCATCCCTTTTGAATGTATCTAGGTAGGCAAGTGTATTTTTTTTTAATCGGATATACTCCATATTATATTTTTCACTTTAGGCACAATAAGGAAACGCATATACCACTTCGGGCATAGAGACTTGAAAATTGTGGTCGCTACTGTTCAATGATGGCTAAGAATAACCATGCAATAGTTCTAACAGAAAACCAACAAATGGTACTTAACGGATTTTTGAGGCGAGCCGGCGTTGGTAATTTTTCTATATCATTATCATCGGGAGCAGAAGATGGTGAAAATTTTGGTGGAATTATAATAGAAGCCGATGTAGTGTGGACCAACGGAAATAAGGAATCGACTTCCCATTACATTCTAAAGTGTGCCCCGTCAAGTGAAATTCTTCAAAGGCTGTTACCTGTGCAGTCTTCCTTACTGATTGAGATATACGTGTACTCAAAAATTTTGCAAGAGTTTAATATAATTCAAGGAGAGTATAACATTGAAACACCATTCGATTGCTTCCCAGTTTATTACGCGTCTTTGGCAGCAGCACACGACAAAATGATAGTATTACAAAACGTAAAGGCACTGAATTATAGGCATTGCGATCGAGCTCAACCTCTGGATTACCCGCATATACTATTCGTAGTGAAGGAATACGCACGATTGCATGCCCTCTCCTACGTGATAAAGCACTACAAGCCAGCCCTTTTTGAAGAATTTGAAAGAAATACTGTACACCACTCTTCCTATGACTGTGACAGCTACGAAGGCATCGCCATGTGTAGGCAACATCGATTGGGTCACGCTTTGAAGGCACTGAAGTCGATTGATGATACTGCTCTGTTTGAGAAATTCTCCTATTTTGTCCAAAACGTAATGTCTATTACTACAAAGCTGCTCAATTCCAAAAAGGAGCACCGAGTAATTAGTCACATCGACTGCGGTATTCCAAATTTGTTGTTTAAGTATGATGTAAGTAAGTACTAGCATCTTACACCTAAAACTGATTGAGACGTTTTAGCCTACCTCTGGTGATCTTTTGAGTACCTGCATGGTCGACTGGCAACACTCTCGTTTGGAGTCCCCAGCAGTAGATTTGGTTACGTTCATACTTTCCGCCGCTAGCAAAGCTACTCGAGAACGCTACGATGAGTTAATAATGGAGTACCACAAGACATTCTGTTCATTTATGAGGGAATTCGGTTGTGACGGAGAAAAGATGCTTCCATTTGATATTTTACAAAGAGAATTAAAGACTTACGGTCTATTGGGACTCACAATGGCAATCATGTTAATTTACCTTTATTCAACGATTGACCAAAAGGTTCCCGATGTACTCCGAACCGAGTCCTCTAAGGAGGAATTTGGATTTTTATACAATTTACAAAACCGGGAGAAATTTGACACGAGGGTTAGGGAAGCAATTTGCGACTTTGGTCGTTTCGGGTACAATTTTGAGTGAAATGTTTTCAAATTTTTCATTTTGTCAGCGTATCAAGTGATCATGTGTGAAACAATGTAAATCCATTAAAATGCGATGATATTTTACGAAAAGTGTAGCTTCTTTTCCAACATCGCCATCGTCACATTTCAAAGATGCTAGCTAATATACTAATTATTACCCCTGCCGAGAGTAGGTAGGTATTGCCTGTCGTGCAAACCCAGTATTTAAAAAAAAAAGTACCGAAAATGTACGATAAGCTAATTTTTTACTTTACATAATTTAAATCTCCGATATGTCCATCCAACGAGCTTTAAAGGTTAGGGAAAAGATAGGCAAAGAGTGAGAATATTGCTGTGTTTATTTCGTCCGGCAGGATGAAATTTTCGGACATCCTAATTAAGATGGACAAGGGCGGTTTCCATTTTATGTAAATAACTTTTGTAATTAAATTTTATTAATCTGGCGTTGGTCTATGTAACGGCAAGGAGATTATTTGTGTCATACGAGAAACCGTTCAAGGTTGTTTTTGTTTACATTTTTATTTTATTTAACGTAGAAATTTCTGGGAATTGTTGGGTCTTTATCTGTTATCAATTGTAAATGCTTAATTTAATTGACATGTGGATGTCATTTATCGCCTTTTCTGTGTAGTTAAGAGAGATAAAATTTTATTTTTTCCTAGAATTTAAGTCTCTTAATGTCTGATAACAAATTGATTTATAAAAATTATTCGACCTCTATTTTCTGGTCTATTAACGTACGTTTAGGGGATAGCCTTGCTTTGTCAACTGCGTATGATTGGTTGTTATAATTTTGATTTTCGGAAGAAGGGTTTTGCCGTAAATAAGACGTCAAGAACGAAAGCGGCACCTTTTGCAACAGTCAACGCAGAACTACGTTTCGTTGAAGAATTTAAAATCAGCTTTTAGCTAGAGCTTACGCCGTACTACGTTTCGTTGAGATTTGAAATCAGCTTTTAGCCAAGTTCAGCGCCGAACTACGTTCCGTTGCAGTTTTTAAAATCGGCTTTACGGAAAGTTTAGGGCCAAAATGCGGCCAATTTATTTCAGCTCTTTGCTACGTCAGCACCGAGTTACGTTTCGTAGAAGGTTTTATTTCGTTTTTTGCGAGTTCCATTGTGGATTATTTGTGTTGAAGCGACAGCCAGCATTGAAACTCTCGTCTAATGTGAGTTTGAAGTTTGAAGAAGTTTTGTGTGTGAAACCGGAAGTTGAATTCGTGGCTAATTATTTTTCTATCCCATAAGTTTTTTTCCAACGTGACTCAGTTTGAAGTTAAGTTTTTTTTTATTGGAACGTCCTTGTCTACTAGAAGACAAGATGCTGCGATTACCCGGTCGTTAGTGTAAAGTGCGTTGATTGAAAATTGTAATTTTTTGTGAACTGTGTACGGATACCTTTTATTTGATTGGATATTACAATTCCCGGACAAGTAATGTAAGTAGTTAGGTTTTAATTTTAGTCTTTTTGTAATAATTGTTTGTGTTTTGGTACCATTTTCCTTGTATGTGTTAGAATTAAATCGCACTTTTGTAATTTACCTGATTTCATTGGATGCTTGCTCAAGATCCATTTAATTTTTCAAAATTTTGCAGTTCCGTTTGGAGTTTGAGGTATTTGGTTTGACGCATTACCTGTTTGAAGTTAACGTGTTAATAAGTAAAGGGAAAGAGCTAGCTAGGTTTTTGTTTTGGTATTTTGTGTACGGTCTTTCTGGCCTACGGACCAGTACACACAGAAATATATTATTATATATACAGAGTTGATTTAATTAATACTCATTATTCATTACTCTAGCCATCCGTATTTTAAGTAACAGGTCACAGGAAAAGGAATAAGTTTGTTTAAAATCTTAGCGTGAGCGAAGTTAAAGTAACAAAGCCCGTTCGGCATTTATCGCGTATAAAGAACAGACCGAGAAGCTATATAAAAAAATTGCTGTAGCTAGGCACAGATACCACTAGCGCATGCGCCTTCTGCACAAAAACTTTTCAGCCCTTTTATGTCTAAGAACGGGTGTACCAAATTTAGTTCGAATCGGTTCCGCCGTTTAGCTGGAAATGAGGGTATCGTATAATAGACAAACAGACCGTGTGTTTACTGGGTCAACCTTCCCAAAGAACTACAAAACACTACAAAATATGTGTTGCTTTTCGGGGTGATGGTCAAGTAAGGTACACAAGTAAAACGAGTACATGCTTTAAAAACGGAAGTTTAATCAGAATAAATTACATTGCAAGAATAAAACTTGAAAATTGTAGTTCACAGAGTAGAAATAGAAATTGTCTGGTAAAAAACATAACTCAGGAAGAAAAAACCAGCCAACAATTTAAAATTAAACGTTATAGCAAAATTAATTATGTATAATGAGGATGGCATGAAATGCAAATTAGAATAATATTGTCAAGTAACTTTATGAAATATCGGATCATAGGAATACTGGAATTCTTAAACATTTAATATTCATAACATAACATAAAAAGAACAAACATTTAACATTAGAAAAAATTCACATTGTTATTATATGGATAACCAGCCCAAATATCCCACACATCACACAGAGTTGTCTTCACTTGGTCTTGGTTCAGCAAGAACCAAACAAACCCTAGGAATTGACCTTTCTTAAGGGCATTTTACACAGAAAGGATAAGTGGGTAGGTACATAAAATAAAGGGAACGACGAGAACACGAGAACAATGGGCCATAATTTACAATAAACGTCCCAAACCTAACGCTATACGAGGGAAGTTAATGATCCATATCGATTCGGGACGCAGAGCGCGTCGATTTTAAAGGTTTGATTTGCTGAAGGGGAATTTTATTAATAAATAATAATAAATTGTCTTTTATTGGATAGAATATATTGTTGTGTTTATTTTGTTTTAGTTGTAACTTGAAAGAAATTATAGAGCGTCTGGATGTGACAATTTTGTTTAGTTCATTTAATTAACCGGGGGGGTTATTAATAATTTGAGACACAGGATTGCGTAAATTTCATGTTATAGTTTTGGTTCAATTTCTTAGAAGTGTTCTGTTTTTATTTTATTCCTAGAATTTTTTTCGATGTAAATTTCTTTTTAAATTTTATTTGCCGTTAACGAGGTATAGCGCGAAGTAGAGATAAGGTTCTTCGCAGAATTGCCGGGCGTACGTGCCGTTTAGCAAGAAGTTGAAAAATCGACGCTTCGCGTGATTGGCGGACGGGATGTTGAAGAAAGGAGAAGGGCTTTTGGCTTAAATAGAAAATTTTTGATGAGAGCGGGGCTTTTTGGTCGTTACAAAGCCAACCGGCGCTTCTTCGGTTACGTTATTTTTGAATTTTGTGGAAGTTTCTTGCGTAGTGGATCCAGGTTTAATTAGAATTTTGTGTCTGCCGTTTTAAGAAGAATTATTGAGAAGTTTAAGAAGTTTGTCGCCGTCCTGTTTTTTTTTTATTTTGCGGAAACACGGAAGTTTTGAATTTGTGGGTACCCGAAGAGAGAAGACGTCGGTGTTTGAGTGTTTGGTTTGCGTGTTTGTGTACGGATACCTACCTCTTTTTATCGGAGTACGTTACTCGGACTAATTTTAAAAGTAAGTAGTAGTTAGTGGTTTGTTTTGTCTTGTTTTTTTTGTAATGTTTGAGTAATTTGTTTTTTTTTTGTGTGTGTCATTTATTTGTTTAAAATTGTAACAATTTGTAAAACAGAAATTTACGCAATTTTTTGTTTGAAATTAAACCAGTCATTGCAATCCAGGTTTTGTTTATTAGAGTCAAGGAGAGGTAATTGTCGGCGTCTCTTACTTTGTTTCAAGTTGATTAAATCTGGGGGTAAAGTTTCATATTGGAATTTAAGGATTTGGTTAAGCCACCTATTTATGTCATTGTTGGAATGCTGTAGGGTGGCAGAATCCAGCTGGACCTTGAGATGCGGATAAAAATTTTGTTTTCATTTTAATTACAACTGAGCTAGCTAGAGGGAAATCGTGGGATTCCCAGAAGTGTAGGTTAGGTCTCACAACAATATATAAAACCAAAAAGAAGAAATAACAAAACATAATGTTGACACCATTATCATCTTTTCAATTTGGGATCTTCGTTACTCACTTGGTAGAGATCCGAAAAGCTTAAGAGTCTTCTGTACCCACTGCATCGCCCGCCATAAAAACTCTAGTTGTTTTTCAAAAAACAATTTTTTTTAAGAACTATTTTATAAATTTAGACCTTTATCTACAAAATGTTCGGACTATTTTTTTTTTAAGTTTATAGCAACTGAATACCGATTGTTTAAAGATTAGATGTTTCGCACCGATTATTGCGCTAATCTGTTTTATTTTTTTACTCTCGATCAAGACGATTTATGGAAAAAGTAAACCGACAGTTTTTTAGATAAGTTACTTCTAAATATGACCCCAAAAAATGAAATCATAATTTTTGTAAATAAAGTCTGTATCTTGGCGGGCGGTAAATCAACAATTTGAGTGTAACAAGTGGCGCCGCTGCACAGTGTCGGTGGGAACTAACTAAGGACCAAGACATGAGTTGATAAAGCAAGAATATCATCTTATCTCTTGCAGCTATAATCGTCTATACACTATAATGTAAAAAAGTTGCACTTAGGTACAGAAGACTCTTAACACTGAAAGAAGAATAGAATCAAATCAGTGCTACAGGTAACAGTGAAACGTAAGTATTAAGCGCGGGTGACAACACAATGTCTCATAATCGATGGTGTGTTTTACATCACTTTTACTCCAAAGTTGACCTGTATTATCGGTCAAGTTTAAGGTTAGAGGCCAGTCTCGATCTTATGTTCAAGTATATAAATAAGTTTCGCAAAGTAATTGGATTATTTATGCGTCTCCCTTGCTTCGGTTATTTTGACTTTAGTGAACTACCTACACCAACCCATTTGTAAGATAAAATAAGTAGATAAGATAAACGAATATATAGGTACGCGTTGATTTATACTGTAATCAACGTTTTGTCTAACGTTACAAAATGACAATACCTGCAATTGAAATGAACAAGGTATACCATTGAGAAGGGGAAAACAAAAAGTAAGTAAAATTACTATTACAAGTTACAACTTAAACGAAATTATTGAAGGAAAACATGTCGAGATCGAACGACTCCGTGGTTTTAACGGTAAAGCAAATGGAAGTCCTTAAAACAATGCTTTATAGTATTGGTATTAAAGACTATTCATTGGCGCTGTCACCAGCTGTGGAAGAAGGGGAAAATTGCGCCGGTGCTGTAACCAAAGCCGTAGTAAAATGGACTGGTAAAAACGGCGATTCTTGCACTTCACACTATATACTCAAGTGTATCACCTCAGGAAGTGCCTTGGAAAATCTGATTCCCTTACAAGATTGTTTTACAAGAGAAATTTATTTATATTCCAAGGTATTTCCACAGTTCACGAAAATGGAAGCTGAACACAACGTTAGGTTCAACATTTATCCTGAGTTCTACACCTCACTGGAAACAACGGAGGAGAAAATGTTGGCATTACAAGATATGAAAGCTTTAGGATTCCGCCACCATAACCGCCACCAGACTTTGGACTACGAGCACATTCTGTTAGCGGTTAAGAATTATGCTCGATTGCATTCTCTGTCATATGCAACTCGCCATCAACAGCCAACCCTGTATGAAGAATTCGAGAAGAACACCCCCGACCGATTTTTTGTTGGGTTTAAGTACACAGGGGTTCGCTCAGTTTCTGAACATCGGATTCTTAACGCACTAAAAGCATTGGATCCAGTTGTTGATCGAGAAATATACAATGTATTTTGTGACCTCAAGGAAAACATGGTGTCAGTATTAACGAATTTGATCAATTCGAAAAATCAGTACCAAGTGATCAGTCACATCGATTGTGGACTTATGAACTTATTGTTTAAATATGACGTAGGTATGCGTGCGATTAATTGCCTTCATTAACATTCGATCACATTTCAGCTGAGTACTAACACGCCAACTGACGTCTGTATGATAGATTGGCAACATGGGCGTTCGGAGTCACCGGCTGTCGACTTGATTACTTTCATCTTTTCATCATCGGATAGTAAAACTAGGGAACGTTATCATGAATTAATCATGGAATATCACAGGTGCTTATGTGTATCTTTAGAAAAACTGGGGTGCGATGGTAACAAAATTTTGCCGTTCAGTATTTTGGAAAATGAGCTAAAAGTGTACGGAATAGTTGGTTTTTGCTTTGCTATTTTTTTAATTTACGTTTATTCTACTGTTGACCAAAGACGACCTGACGCGCTTAACGATGATTCTCATGCGGAAGGATACTCGTTCGTATATGACCTGCAAGAGGGGTCCGAGTTTGATAGGAGGGTTAAGGAAGCTATAATTGACTTTTGGAGGTTGGGATACAATTTTAAATAAAGTTATTGATCTTCTGTGTTAATTTCTGGTAGTATTTGGTAATCTGTTCAGTGTAATAGTTGCAAACTAAATGCGTTGTGAACAAATTAAAACGTGAACTTTTGTCCCAGAATAATAGTGCAAGGATCATAAACAGCGACAGTGTGCGTCGTGTTCTAACTATAACTGTCTGTATGTCCTTTAGCATTGATTTAATTTTTCGGAATATGAAAAGTTCGCGCCGGACCAAATCAATAGAGTAGAGAGGATGTTGCAACACAGCAACCTTGTTTTTGAATAATTACTGCTTCACATACAACACAGTGTTACAAGATGCGTTATTTGACTGCAGAAACTTGCCAATAGTACTACTGATTATAAGTGTGGCCCTCTAGAACCCAGATGATGTGGCGTGACACTCCGGTTTTCGTAGCAAACGACCATCGCTTTGAATTTCGACTTGCCTATCTTGGGCTTTTTCATCCTGGGCGAAGAATCATCCAGTCCAGACTATCTCTATCGACTATCGACTGGGTCATAATAAAGAATCCAACACGCCAATAGAAACGAAATGTACTTCCATTTTGTCTCCTTCGGTCGAGGGGCTACCCAGACATCGTGTGTTACGTTGCTTGAAAGTTTACTCAATTCTTCGTTCGTCCGTTTGGACTTACCTTCCGTAATTTTACTTCCAGGCCGCTCAGGTTAAAAGGGTTAAGAATAGGAAATATCCTTACTGGCCAAATAATTAATTTTGTTATAGCAAACATTGTAGAATGTTAAACACGCAAAATCTAAGGGCCAATTGCACCGTCAAAATTAAGTATCCCTTAAGGCCGATTCAGAGTTCCGTAACTGTAAGCGGTAAGAGGTAACGATAAGAAATAAGAAAAATAAACATTTAAATTATAATGGTGACATTCAGAGTTTTTCCGTAAGATGCAAGACGTAAGTAGTAAGAGGTAAGAAATGGATTATGTCATTTCATACCTTATCTCTTACGGAATCATGTTTTGTTTATTAAGATGAGAATGTATTCGACCGTTAAGGCCGATTCAGAGTTCCGTAACGGTATGAGGTACGAAATAAGAAATAAGCGGTAACGTAAATCGTGTAAGCCTGTAAGGGAAGACCGTTTGCGTCATATATTGTCAAACTGACGTTTGAGATTGTAGTACCAAAGGTTATTTTGCTTTTCATAGACGTAGGTAACGAATATGGATAGTGACATCATAATCATAGCGCTTCTAGTGTTAATACACCTTCAACACAAATGTTTTAACGGTCGAATACATTCTCATCTTAATAAACAAAACATGATTCCGTAAGAGATAAGGTATGAAATGACATAATCCATTTCTTACCTCTTACTACTTACGTCTTGCATCTTACGGAAAAACTCTGAATGTCACCATTATAATTTAAATGTTTATTTTTCTTATTTTTCAGAGCTTTCCAACGACGTATCACACATGGGGGGTCACTATTTAAGATTTAAAAGTTGGGGTGGCTGGGGCGCAGGGGGTTGGAGGGGGTGCGTCGCCAACTATGTCATTGTGATTCCCCCTCCGAATTACCGAAACGGATTTTGATTTTTTTAAATATCTCGTTTATTTACTAAGATATGGGGGGTGGTAAGTTTTCAAATTGTCACCCTGTATATACAGACCTTCTAGTTTCCTTTTGTTAAGATTTTCTTACGAAACTGTCCTTATGCCATTTGCACTTGCGGTGACGACTTTCATCTGCAGATAGGTCTCGCCTAAAACTTCCATTTTCTGTCAATAGATGGATAAGGGAAGGAATATGAGAGACGAGATTCTCGTACAACAGATGAGATACTGTACGAGGAGTTATTGAAAAGCAACCGCGCAGGATTCTGCAGGGGTTGGTAGATAAAGTTGATCTAGAATTAATTGCCACACTGCTCACTGATTCCCGTCTTTCTTCCTTTGGGAGGGTTCTCCGCTGAAGCGGGGTAAAACAAATAGAAACACTCCCTGATGGAATAATAAGGAAAACCAACAGAAGGGTTTTTAACAACAGCAAGCGCAATGGGTACTGGGATGAATATAGAACGTCCCTCACTGAGTATAGTAATGATAAAAGAGCGTCTTGCGAAAGATTCTGTGGGATGATAGAAGAAAATCCCGTCTACGGAGGATCGTCTCAAAAGAGACATTGGGAATGGGATGGTGGTATCAGGCGGGTAACGCACTGACTCAAGTAGAGAAACTTTGCAGCTCTTTGTGCGAACCCACTTCTTGGATTCTGTTAAGGAGACCGGGGATATCAGAAGTTCTTCATCTTCCCGTCCTGCCCACATATTTGACTACGGTCTTAGTGGCCGTATATTCACACCAAACAGAGTCCGTTGGGCAAGCCTAAATCAGTCAGGCTTAGGAACCAACTCAAGAGATACCGACTTTAGCAGCCTATCGTCCTTTATCCTTCAAACGATGGAGAGAATAGTAGGGTAATGCATAAGGGACACCAACCAACTTTCATACCAAAAGGGTCGCTCTACGTACGGAGACTGTCTTTCATAACATCATCTCTAAGATTGAGAATACCTACATACTGGACAAAGAATCGACCTTAGTCTGTATCATGGACATTAAGGGGGATTCAACTGCCTCTCATATAACTCCATTGATGAAGCAGCAACATATCAACCTGTGAACAAACGGATCTATAAAAGCCATGTTAGAAGGCAAGGCGTTTAAAACCAACTTGGGATCGAAAACAATCTCGTAACCGCGAGCAGAGGTTGTCCGCAAGGGGGTGCAATGTCCCTTCTCCTTCACCACTAAGTGAAGAAGGAATCGGCGTTGGGAGCCATCAGATTACTCCGAAATGAGGCGGAAGGAACACAAAGATGCAAAACACTTAGGAGTTGTAAACCAATTCCTGAGCACTATACAAGATTTCAGAATACGTGAGTCTCAAATACCACCACGACGAGCTCTTTAAAGCAGTGATCCGGGACGTGGGCAGTCTGTAAGAGCAGTCCAGAATTTGACAAAGGAGCAGTAAGCTGGTACACTGATGGCTCCAAGTCGATGGAAGGGGTGGGAATACGCATAAGAGAGCCGAATTACGCCCCCTCAATGGTTTTCTACAATATTTTAAGCCGAGGTTATAGCTGAAACCCGGTGCGCAGAGGTCATTGTGGTCAACGGGCTACATATGTTCGGACAGTCATGCAGTTCTCAAGGTTCTAGGTAGCGGCCTTCTGCCTGGCCTCTAAGCTGCTCATGGAATGCCACATAAAACTGGAATAAATGGTCTGGCGTACTAGTGTTACGTTAGTGTGGATGCCAAGCCATGAGAGGATGCCCGGTAACGACATATGACATGCACCAAACATTGGCTCGGAACCGGAGTACCGGAGCTTCAGCAAGTCTAGCTGGAGGAGTGATAAGAAGCCAGCTCAAAAAAGAGTGGAAACGTCTATAAGAATCTGTCCCTGGACTAAGACAATCCAAGAAACTGATCAGCTTTCAGCAGACTAAAACCAGCTCGTTGCTAGCACTTAGCAGAAGTGAACTAAGGTCATACACGGGAATGGTCACGGGACACTGTCTCTTTTCAACAGAATCGGCGGTAACACATGTCGCCTCTACTTCGAGGGGAAGTTATACTTATTTGAAGATTGGGCCTTCGAGTTACAAAGTGTCCCCCGCCTACTAGTGAGTGATCTAATTTAAAAAAATAATGATTTAAGTCGATTTATTACGATACTTGCAATAATGCTTATTGATTGTAATGGAACTCTACTTAAAAATCATTTTTCCATCACCCGCAGTCACGGAATTTTTGGAATCGAATTTGCAGACTTGAATACCATGATCGACATATCGAATTTTTTGTGATCATTTACTCATAATAATGTTTTTTGTTATTTGCGACATTTTCAATTAACTACATGCGAAATTAGATCACTCACTAGTAGGCGGGGGACACTTTGTGACCCGAAGGCCCAATCTTCAAATGAGTTTTGTTTTAAAAGTGGTTTAAAAAAACTGTTCGACGGTTTTGTTCATTAACTCATCAAGTACCTATGTGTGGAATTTCGTGGAATTCTCTTTTTTTCGTACCCCCAAGTAGGGGTGCGCTTTTTCGTAATAGAAAATTTGAAAAACAATTTCAAAATCGGATAGGGCATACCCGAAAACCTATCCAAAGACGGCACCCATCTTTGTAACTCTTATGGTTGCTGAGAAAAAAATTAAAGCAGAAATCCAAATTTTACCACCTCTTTGGGGGTGGCTCCCAAACGAATCACGTTGGATCCTCGGTTTATTTGGAAAAAGTTCTTGTCTTGATTCCCTCTATTATCCAATTTTTTTTGTATACGGTCATGTAACACCCTGCATAAAATTAGTCATTGACGAATTAATTAATATTGATCATTTACTTTTAGTCGTATAACACTAGCGTGGATTTCACTATTTTTCACTTCGGTATCAATATTACGACTGCAACTAAACACAATTCAATTTGTTCATGTTGCAAAGAAAAAGCTTCTAGAGATGTCTCAAATCAGCATATTATATTTCATGGAAAAAATGCGTCGCATCTGCTTTCACTCCTTATCGCCGGTGACTACTTTTATCGACTTGATAAGTGCCTCGAGAATGTTCTAGAAGGATCGCTATAGTAAGACAGTTGAAATGCTACAAAATTGTTTGCTGTTTTTATTTGGATGGTCGGTCATACAGCCATTCTCTAATAGGAAAATACAAAAAAAAACAGAGTCACACATTTTCTCGTCCGGAGGCCTGTTAGGACGCTTTTAATACAACTGTTATTCCGGAAAGATGTTTTGGTTAGTGTGCATGCTCAAATTGAAATCTAATTTTTCTGTGTGCTTTATTCAACATCATTACAACGAATGAATTCCCCATACATAGAATAAACAAAAATGCGATTGCGCATAAACATAAACTATTCGTAACACTCCCCGCCGTTGAAGAAGTGTTACTTCTTCAAATGAAGTACAAAATAAATAAATATAATCTGAGGCAGTAGG